AAATTTTACTCGATTCCACCGTTTTTCTCCCTCTTCGTTTACCAAGAATTTTGACGTAATTCGCAGGTATAAGTCCTGTTGTTTGACCATCAAGACTAGCCAGAAGCCAACCACGCACTTTAGGCTGTTGTTCTGATGAGAGAGAAAAAAAAAAAGCCAAAAAAGTCTTGTAATACGTAATATAATACTTTGGCAGTCCAACAGATTATTGATGGTAAAGCATTATTTTTTTAAAGAATTATTTTTACTTAACTTTATTTTATTTATTTTTATTCATTTATTTTAATTTGACCAGAGAGGAACAGAGTGAGAGAGAAAGTGAGAAAGCAAGCCACCAGGTCTGAGACTCAAACTGCAGTTGGTCATGTGGAGTCCAGCGCCCTTAACCACCATGCCACCTGCTGGCCCTGGTAAAATATTAAGTAACATTTGTGTTACACTAATGCACTTAAATATATACATTCACAGTAGATACATTATATTCCAAATCAAATGCTGAATACTCTTAATGGTTTTAGGGCCCATTCTTATATTACACATACATACATACATATCGATAGTTATAGTGTATTTATATTTATTTATATTATTTCCTCCATGAAAGAGGGGAAGAGAAAGAGAAATATTATTGGAACAACTCTTCTGGGGCACATCTCCCTGATTCAAATGTGGAAGGTCTAATATTACACAAAAGAGAAATTCTAGTAAGGATCTCAAAATTAACCAAAAATGAACAAGATCCTTTGATGAAGTTTTTAATACCACAATTATAAATAATAAAAGTTCACAGACAATTCTAAATTTTCATAATTTTGTTACCTTTGAGAGCTAAGTTTAGCATATCACCAGCACGGAAAGATATTTCTTCTTCGGACACAGCAGCAAAATCATATTCTGCTCTAGCAACTACATGGTCATCCTCGCCACTTGCCCAGTTGATGTTGTCTATAAATCAAATCAAGAATTAATATTAGGCTATTAAAACTTGCAAATGAAAGATGGAGATATTTTATTGGCAAAAATTTGCTAAAACAAAAGTTCTCCTTTCACAAGTAAAATTCTTTAATAAACACAAGTTAAATATCAACAATGTGTTCATTAGGATATCATAAGGGGACAGCAGGTGGCGTGGTGATTAAGGCACTGGACACTCCCGCATGGCCGACTATGGTTCAAGTCCCGGACCTGATGGCTTGCTTTCTCACTTGCTTTCTCTATCTCTCTCCAGTCAAATTAAAATGAATGAGCGAATAAATAAAATAAATAAGCAATTCTTTAAAAAAAAGGTATATCTATCATGAGCTCCAAATTTCACACCCTTACTTTAAGCCAGTGGATGACAATTTTTTTTTTCCTGTAAAGAGTCAGAGAGTAACTATATTAGGCTTTACAGACCAACAGGCAAAATATAAGATATTGTGGGACCAGCAGTTGGTGTAATGGCTATGTCGCTGGATTCCCATGTAGTCGACCAGGTTCGAGTCCCAGACCCGGTGGCTTAAACTCATGCCAGGCACATGTGCATATGTGCCCAAGATCCCGAGAGGAGAATGGAAGAGAAGAGACTGTGTTGTGGCCATCCCCTCTGTGGGGTGATTTCTCGCTTTCTGTCTCTCTGTCTCTCTCTGTCTTTCTGGTGAGTGCACGCACCCTATAGCAAAAACCTCTCTAAAAATAAAAAAAGAAAGAAAAGAAAAGAAAAAGATACTGTATGGCTACATGTTTAACAAGAGAAAAAATTTCCCATAATTTTTTTTTTTTGGAGAGGTTTTTGCTATAGGGCGTGTGTACTCGCCAGACAGACAGAGACAGAGAGAGACAGCGAGAAATCACCCCCCAGGTGGGATGGCCACACTGCAAACCCTTCTCCTCCATTCTCCTCTCAGGATCTTGGGCACGCACGCACACGTGCCCGGCGTGAGTTTTTAAGCCACCAGGTCTGGGACATGAACCGTGGTCAACTATGTGGGAGTCTATCGACATAGCCATTACGCTAACTGCTGGTCCCTCCCATAATTTTTTTTTTTTTTTTTTTTTTTTTTTACAAAATAAAGAATGTAATAACTGAGTTTTTTGTTTGTTTGTTTGTTTGTTTGTTTTGGTAACACAAGTCTACTACTTAGAAGAATAAAAAAAATTTTTTTGGAGAGGTTTTTGTTACAGGGTGTGTACGCTCACCAGACAGAGAGAAACAGAAAGATAGAAAGTGAGAAATCACCTCCCAGGGGGGATGGCCATGCTGCAATCCCTTCTCCTCCATTCTCCTCTTGGGATCTTGGGCATGCACGCATATGCACCCGGCGTGAGTTTTAAGCCACTGGGTCCGGGATGTGAACTGCAGTCAACTACATGGGAGTTCAGTGATATAGCTATTATACTAACTGCTGGTCCCAATAATGAAATATTTTGAGTGGAGATATTTTACTTGGGATAAAATACAAATATTCATATGTTGATGCAAATTTGCAATGAGATTTTGAAGTATTTCATCTTCGGAAACATCTTTTCACACAGTTAGATACTGACAAATCTTGGTATCGATTCATGAGCATGTGACTTTGATCCATCATGTTCATTACCTGGAAGATGAACAGACTAGACTATACCTGTTGAGTACTTCTCTTGATAGCTACCTTTTACCAGGCCTTTACACTGCAGACCAATCATTTCCAAATTAAGAGGAAAGTTCCTCAACTGCAATTAAATGGATTTTGAAATATAGAAATTTCCTTTGTTCTTGCATAGCGGTCCAAAAAATGCCTTTATATTGTATTTTGAACTTGGGAAATATATCTGCTACAATCTTGTATGGGAATGGAAATATTACTTCTTGTTTTAACCTTTTATTTTATTTTATTTTATTTTTTTTTGGTCAGAAGATGCCTGTACTCACTAGAGAGAGAGAGAAAGAAAACACAGAGGAAAAGAGAGAAAGCACCCTCTTTCCCCCACCCAATGTGGCATGGTCACACCACAACCCCTCCTTGTTCATCTCTCCGTTCTGTCAGGATTTGGAGCATGCATGCTCACACTCCCAGAGTGTTTTCCAAGCCGCTGGGGGCTGGGACTCAAACAGCAGTGGGCCATGTGGGATCTGGCTTCTATAACCATTATCTTTGGTGGGTGCTTCTTGTTTTAACTTTCAGCAACCAGAGAGGTTTATAAAGCAGCATGACATTACTGTGATTCAACCATTGCTAGCTGTTGTCAAAATAACTCTACTCCTGCATATATTCTGCATGTAATCATCAGTTGGTTGGTCTTATGATTTTAGATAGAATCTATTCAGAATATTACCAAGTCTGGAGCAAAAACTGTTTCAAAGCCATTAAATAACAGTGGCTGAGAGCGGCTCTGTTTACAGAAATTTCAGTCTTGGCCTCAAACTCAAAAAACAGTAATAAACAGGGCCACTCAGGTGGCCCAGTGGTTAAAACAGCTAGATTTCACATAGCTGATTGCAGTTTGAGTCCCGGACCTGGCAGTTTGAAAAACATGGCAGGCATGTGTGTGTGCATGCCCAAAAGCCTGAGAGAAGAGTGGAGGAAAGGGGGCTGTGGCATGGATATTCTCCCTGGGAGGGCTTTCTCACCTTCTCTTTCTCTCCCCCTCTGATTCTCTGCGATTAGGGCACGCAGCCTACAGCAAAACTAAAAAACCCTGAAAACCTAGTGATAAAATTAAATCCTTGTTGACCTACTAAACTGTTGTGTGGTAGGGCAAGTCAGCATCTTTGCTTTCTACATTTCGCAAAAAGTCACAGAGTGAATTAAGTTTCACCTTTGATAGCAATGGCCCAGTAACACATGATAAATTCAAATACATTGTGCTGCTTCTGAACAATATAATCAATAACCACACATTTTAAACTTTTCTATTTTGGGACCTGCCTGTAGCCTCGTAGTTAAGGTGACTGGATCTCAAGTGGCAAACTGAATGGTAAGAGTTCTAGACTCAGTGGCTTGAAAAGCATGCCAGAAGCATGAGCCACGTGTGCCCAAAACTCTGCAAGGAGATGGAGGAGAAGTGACTGAGGCATGACCATGGGGGGACACTTCCCCACTTTCTCTCCACACGTCCTGTGTGTTGGCTGGAGAGAGTCAGAGATAGAGAGCGGAAGTGAGAAATCATCCCTCAGGTCCCAAGAATGACAACATCACATTCCCTTCTTCATTCTCTTCTTGGGATTTTGGGTACACACACACACACACACACACACACACACACACACACACACGTGCCCAGCATGTTTTTCAAGCACCAGGTTCAGACCACACTGTTGGCAAGATGGGTCCCAGCTGCCTTAACTACCATGCCACCTGATTGGCCCAGCTTTATTTTTGAAAGTGACAAAGCCCTCAGAATCAGCTGATAAAGTATGGGTTTATTTTAACAGTGAAGCAGCCCTAGTTCAATTTTGGTTCTGTAGTAAGCAAGTGACTTCTGTGAACCTCAGTTTTGCCACCTGTAAAATGAGGTTTTTTTTTTTTTTTTTTTTTTTTTTTTTTTGTTTTAGGGCCCTTGTTTTCCCCAGGGGG